ATTACGATTGATGGATGCGACGCGTGTGTGGGACGGCCACGTATCCAGAAAAGGGGGGGGGGGGGGGGGGGCCCATGGGGCCCACTCTCCACCTCTCCAAAATGTTCCATTTTGCTAGGGCCTCCTCTCCCCACTCATACAGCATTTTGTAACGCCCCCCCTCCGAATCAAATTCCTGGCTACGTGTATGGTGTTAGATGTATGGTTTGGGAGAGCAATTGTGAGTGTTGCATTTATCGGGGGACACAGGTGCTTTCATTTATTTTGGCTGAAACTATCTTCTAGTGAAGAGTCGCCCCTACAGCACTTGCGGTGGAAGAAAAGAAAGCACGTACGCGAGGTCTTCTGTAGAGGCGCGGAGAACAAACGAGAACGGCACTTGAGTGGCAAAAGTAAGGCAGCGAGGGATCGTTTCCGATCCGCGCAGTCACGTAGGCGTTTCGCAACCGTGATTTCCTGAAGTGTAGGGTGGGAGAAAGGGAAAACATCGCGGGAGGGAATGCGGATGTGACACGAAAGGTGGGGAGGCGGAGAGCACTCCTTCCGTGATCACGTTAACTTTTCGGAAAGGTGGCGGCCTACAGGGGGAAGGTGGGCTGGGTGAGGCGGGGGGGGGGGGGGGGGGAAGGGGCGAGAGAGGTCCTTGACGTGTGTGAGGAATGACGAGGAGATGAAGAACAGTGCCTCCGCTGCAGAGTGAGATTTCGCGGACTTACACGAGCATTATTCACCTGGAAGGGGCACAATACTTCTTTTCAGCTTCCGTCCGAGCGCACCCAAAACTACGTGTGGCCGGAGCCAATCTCACGCCGGCAATAGGTCACGCGATCTCGCCTGCACTTTTGTATCACTCCGCTGCGCCGCTGATCGTCCGTGGCGCCCGTGCTCGCCGAGTGTTTCGTCTGCTACGGGTGTATCAACGGTATCGTCTGCTATAGGTTTAAAAAGGTCCCTTTCCCGTTCTGAAACGTAGTCACAGGGGATGTCCGTACGTAGGCTGGCCGCTGGCGTCTGTGTCGGAGCTTCGCACCTGCTCGTCATTTCGGCGTAGTTTCGAGATGTAGGTACACATTGCAAGGTGCCCGATGACCCGGCCGTTGATATTTCCTTGTATTGCCTGGATATACCAGCTTGAGGCGCAGTTCTTTCCACCAGGTTCTCGGCGCTCAATGTGATCGGCAGGTAAAAAGGTGCCCTGATATCGCCGCGTATCAGTAAATTGTAGTGGCCCGGACGCTTTTCTTGTTTACAACGCATTCGGGGTACGACGCGGCCAGAGTCTCCTGCCGAATTTGAAAGTAGACATTCATCACGACCTCTCGCGCCTGACGCTCAAACGTGCCTTTGCGAACGGGCGTTTTGAAGCGACTCGGTGAGGAAAGCAGCGAAGCATATGATTCGCCCATTGCGGGAACGAAATCACACAGAAAAACCGGGTGCTGGAGCCGTGTTGCCTGGGGTGGGGATGTTCGTGTTTTCACCAAACCACATGCATTTACATATATTAATAAAAACACAAACTTCAGATATTTAATTCATATCGCTGCAAATAATTCTCAGCAGCACACATTCGGAATGTTGTGCAATGTTTACGCACAAAACAGTTATTAAAAAAAAATATTTTGCGGACTAGTTTGTGGTGCGTAGGAGTGCTCTTCTCGAAGCTGCGAACCGTCCGTCAGCCCAGACTTGTACACGTTACTGAAAAATAGTAAGGAATCACACTTACACTTGCTCCAGGTTAAATTGTAAGTTAATACAATTACAATTACCCTGCCATAAAAGGAACTGACCGTTACCCCAAAAAGCAATCCATTACTTTCGTGGCGTTACATTCAACATTATTGCCCTCGAGTAAGAAACAAAGGGAAGAGGGTTATTCAAGTTCTTATTGTTGCAACCTCTTCCATTTAATGACCTTGAGTATTTTGAGCAATTGCTGACTCTCAAAAGTCTCATCAGGCATTCTGAGTTATTTCTTACTCAATATGACGAATGCTGCGCTGAACGCCCTCTGAGCTGAGGCACTGGATGGGAGTTCCATATTGTTCCTCACGAATGCTTCATGCTCTACATTGAGCTTTTTCAGTGAAGCAATAGAGTTGCAGCCGTTGCCTGATATTCGAGAGCTTTAGTAGATCGTTCCGATACCTCCGATGTCCCCGATAACGTTACGATGCATGCGCAAAGACGGCGGCGGGATATCGGGTATCGTTATCGCAGGCATCGGACCGATCTACTAAAACACTCCAGTGTCTAAATCGCGAACCTGTGGAAGTCCTTACACATCTAGCCAAAACTAGAATAAGTATTGATTTACGTTCATTTTACTATACCGACATATATTGCCAGACAACAGCAAAAGATAGTTGTAACAGTAAGGTGATAATTAAATAATAAAGAAGGTTTGACTCGATATTCATCTTCCTTTGGTTCTGAACAGGTCGAGCCTCGGTTAAGACGTTGGTGAATAAAAAAAAAAAAATTCGCCAGTGTATAAATATGATACAAAAAAGACACTCAAAACAACAATTAATTAGAAGGTCGGTTAAAATAAGGAAATGTAAACGCATGTTTGCCGTGTGTACCTTTCTTGGTGCCCTTCAAAAACGCACGGAGCACGAGCCGACTTCAGTCTACTGCGGTGTTCTCCAGATAGACGTCCGCTGTGCCATGGGCAGCTAAGGGCAGAGTACTAAGTAAGCCGCGCTATGACCCCACTCACGAGTTTCACCCTCTCCTCAAGCCCAGAATATCAAGTCTACACCAGTCACCATTATGTTTTAATTGGAAAAATACCTGCTTGAAATAAGATGCGTCCTGCGGGGGTAAAAACAGGAAGAAGAAAGGAAGACTATTATCATTTTCAAAGTGCTCGCTAAAAACTGACTCAGAAATAGGGTGACTGAGACGCATATAGCCTTGCTGGATTTCACAAATAAAGTAGACCAACCCTAGAAGTTCGACTGCAAAAAAGTAAGTAGCTTTTAAAACAGGTTCAAATAATGTGAAAGAACCAATAAAAAATACGTCCTGGTTTATAAGAGTGGAGCAACAATTGAGGATGCTTGTGGCAATAACACCTCACATATTATCACATCTTTTTTAAGGGATTTTAGGGTAGATGGACGTTGTCTCGCGTTATGACATTATAAAAATCGTCGTAATCACTATAACCGGGAAGGACATTCTTCATTGCATGTGCACTTACCGCCTCGAGCTTCTCGAAGAGGCACACAATCACTTGGTGTCCTCCTCTCCCCGTCTTCGATGCAAAAACAAAAACAAAGAGGCTAAACAAAGCGGATATAACTTGCCCCCTCCCCCCTCCCCCACCCCCGATTTTTTTCTTTTTTTAATTGCTTGTTTGGATTTTTTTACATTGTTGTTGAAGTCTTAAAAAAATAGAATCAGGTGCTGGGTGCTTCAAAAAAAAAAAAAGCAAAAAAAAAAGACTTTGTGGAACTGAAGAGTGCCAAGCCAACCTTCGCGCTGGTCAATTCGCGTTAGCGTCAATGCGCTCGGCTTCCCAAAATAAAAACAACCCTTTCTTTAGAAGGGGGGGGGGGGGGGGGTCCTGAAAAAGAAAAAAAATGTAACGGATTACAAGGAATCCGTTACGTAAAATAATGTAAGGGAATTACTTTAAAACTACTCTAGAAAATATGTAATTATTCCGTTACTGAATTACTGATAAATGTAAGGGATTACAAGTAATATCGTTACTTGCAACGGATTACGCACAAGTCTGCGACAGCCTTTGGCTGCGCTCGGACGGAAGCTGAAACGGAGTATAGCAGCTACATCTATAAAAAGGTGCGAGTCCGTTGGCTCTGATTACCGGTGTCACGGCAGGTGTGTTTTTAGATGTGACCCTGAACCGGAAGCTCAACGCCCGAATAGAAAAGGCTGCCTTTCAAGAGACTGCCAAAGGTTACTACAAAAAAAAAAAAAGTCAAAGCAAAATTACCAACACAATGCAAAAAAAAAGAAAACGCAGGAGGATAGGCATTATGCGTGGTTGAGAAACCGAACTTTAATTGGAGATTTCTGGAAAACACGTTTATAGCATTCAATGAAGATTTTCTCTGCGAACGCTAGAGCATTGACTGAGATGTTCTAGTCAGTTGTTGCTTCATAGTTTTTGAACTTAGTGAACCAAATAAATTGCATTTCCTTTAAAGATTTTTTTTAAAGCATGCTAAATGCATTTATTTTTAATATGGCTCAGAAAAAAGCCCGAACTATGGGTAACATTGGAAAACGTTTCATTGCCCTAGTTAGGTTAGATACATCTATTGCGTTCCTTAACTAAATGTAAAATGTTTAAATATTATGTTTTAATAACTTTAACACACTTCCCTTTTTTCATTGAACTTGGTATGGAACAGGTGAGTTACATAAAAAACGGCCTTGTATATTTGAATTGCTTTCTTAAAGGGGAACTGAGATAATCTCAAGTCATTTGACAGTTCTAAAACAACGTATCATCCCACCCTTAAGCCTTTACTGTCAATACTATGTAAAAAATATGTATTTCTATATTCTTGAAAAGCATTTCAAAGAGGCATTTACTTGGATCTAAGGAGGTATCTAGGTGAATGACAAGGTTAAAAATATGCTTATGCCTCAAGCAAAAAAAAAACACCAAAAACACCCTGCACTGTGGTACTGACCATGCGGTTTAAACATGCGCAGTGACACAGAGCATATATATAAATATTGTTTCGGTCTAAGTATATTTTCAACCTCGTCATTCGACGGGGTTAATGATTTGTTTGCAGCGATTGGCTCAATCTAAAACCTCTCCGTAAACGATAATGCGTTACCTTTCCGTTTAGAGAAACTTCCTCTCCACAGAGTACTTCGAGGGACCGTATATGCTCCACATTTTTCACAGTGTAGTAGCAATGTTCCGCGAAAACGTTTGATTTTGTTTACACATACGTATACACTGAAAACGAAGCTTATTAGTTATATTGATGGCCCTTGTTTTGCAGCGTTTCTGTCGCGTTTCACGACCTCCTTCTCGTTGATCCGGAGCGTGAAGAGCGTGTTCCGCTCCAACACCAGCCTGGGACATCTGAACGCCGTGCACGGATTGCGGACCCTCAGCCTGCTCTGGTTCATGCTGGGACACATCTTCCTCTTTCTCAACTACCAGTTTTTCCGTGAGTGGTCGTCGCACTTGCAGAAATAATTACCAGCGACCGTTACCTACAATTTCAACAAATGCGTGGCAAGTGGTATTTACAGAGCAATCACTTAAATTTGTCCAGAAGACATCAAACAGTCGTTTCCGGGAGTCAAACATGTATTGTTTTTAATTTGCAATATATATTTTCAAACAAAAGTGCGCCGGATGACCTGATGTTAGGTGACATCATGATATCCCATGCTACCGGGACATGACAGCATGAGGTTACGGGGCATCAATTTCGTAAAATATGAAGACATTTTTGTCAAAAGTTTAAATGGATACTGAACCGAAATTTCGAGCTCACTAAGCAAGGCCGGGCGGATAGGTGGGAAGCTGCAAAACCAGAAAATATCACTCATACGGCAATATATCTAACGGATCGCCGTATTTTTCTTAAAAGAAGTGTGCGATTGAACCCGGTCGACGAGGCCGGCGAGACAAGGCACCGTCACGATTCCCGTTCTCTCTCCTCCGCGCTACGTCCAGTCAAGCTAATGAACCGAAGCGAGGAGGAGGGAAGCGAAATCGCTTCTCCTCATTCTCAAATTCTCCCGGAGGACAGTTACGTCAAAGAACTCGCTTGATCGCTCCCTTCTTTTCCAAACATACGGCCATCCGTTTGAGGTATCGATGCACGAGTGATGTTTTGGAGTTCTTAGCGTCCGGTTCAACACTTCTGCAGCCTTACTTTGCGAAATCCAAATTACAGTTCAGTATCCCTTTCAGCCCTGGTGCCACCTGATTTCACGATGTGAAGTGGCGACAATTTTCCCGCTTAATTTAGTGGAAAAAGGGACTCCACAGTTTTAAGTAGTGGTGTCACGTGACCTGACAACACCCGACGATGACTTGTGACGTGACATTATGGTGCACGCAAAACCAGAAACTCACGTCACGTAAATTTTTCTTCTGGATTAAGCGGGGAAGTGCATGGAAGAACGAACAGATGTGCAAATGTATGGAATCATCAATTTCGTTACGTAAATCTTTAAATGCTTTAATATAAAATGCCTTAATATATAGAAAACAAACTTGAGTGTTACCTTCAGCTACTGTTCAGTTGGACTCTAGCACTAGGTAAAAAAAATTCTATGCTTCCAGTATTATACATCCCGGAACTAAATGCATCATATAAGAAAACCACGTCAGAAGTGCTCAATTAGAAACGAATTTTCCAAAACTGAATATCAGTTTTAGCTGACGGTAATGATCCCTGAAGAAGAACAAGGAAGGAAAAGGACGAACACGAATCTCCAAACAAAGCTAGGTGACCTTGTCCAAAATAATCTACCTGTTTCTGGTATCCATCCAGGGACATCTTTATTTCCAGTGGAGCGCTGTACAGACTGAGCTAACCAGGAGTTAGACGTCAGTAGAACATACGGGTTTTATCAGCTGCCACCGGTCTAACACCAACAAGTGTGCCCTGCATTTTTAAGTTTAATAAAATAATGCAAGTAATGAAAAGGTGCAGGCGAGCCAGACAAGAACACGATGATAATCCCTGAAGTAGTTTAACAAGGGGCTCAAAGGAAAAACAAATCCCCTAATACAGATTGGTGGCTTCTGCGCCATTGAAAAAAGATCTGCGTTTGCCCTTTGTCCCAAATCTTCACCTTCTCCAGGGATTATTATCGTCATTCTTGTCCAGCTCGCTACCATTCTTGCATTAATTGCATTTCATCCTAACCTTGAAATGCAGGCCGTTCACACTTGTTGGTGTCAGACTGGTGGCAGATGAAAAACCCGTTTGCTCTACTGACGTCTAACGCCTGGTTAAATAAGTTGACACAGCGCTCCACTGGAACTGCAGCGATCCCTGGTTCGATAGCAGTACCAGGCGGATTTTTTCGGTCGCGCACCAGGCTCCTAATTGTGTTTGGAAAATGGTTTGGTGGCCTATTTCACCCTTTTTAACCTTCTCCAGTAATTATTATCGCCATTCTTGTCCAGCTTGCTTGCACCTTTGCATTAATTAGATCTCATCGTAGGCCGAAACTGCAGGCCGTTCACCCTTGTTGGTGTTAGGCTGGCGGCAGCTGATAAAGCCCGTTTGCTCTACTGATGTCAAGCTCCACAATAGCTCAGTTTCCAGAGTTCTCTACAAAAAAAAATTGAGAGGTGCCTGGTTCGATGCCATGACCAGGTGGGCTTTTACGATCGCGCACTAGTCACCTAGCAGAGTCTGAACATTTTTGTTTGCCCTATTTTTCCTTGGTCCCTTTTTCCATGAATTATTATTGTCATTCTTGTCCAGTTTGTTTGCACCATTGCATTAAGTGTATTTCCTCAGTCTTTGTTGCTTTGTTTATCTATCCCGAATTCTACAAGTACTAATATTAAGAAAATCAAGCTAGTCCGGTTTCAGAATCACCTGTACTAATAATTAACTCCTCAAACTTTTTTTATAAACAATTGCTAGCCGACAAAAAACTCAGATTTTATATCTCTAAATACGTGCTGTTCTATTTTTGTCGCTTTAGCATTTGTATTTTTGTTATATTTTCATATAGCCGTAATCGTTACGTATTCACTATCAGTTTTAAAGACGCTCGTCTATCTTCGTTTCTCCAAAGCATTCGGGAACCAGACCACTGTGGTAAAGACTGAAAGTTATCAGGATGGAGAAAAAAATATAAAAGATATGTTGAGATCTAAAATTAAAACCTGATATAACACACGGCATGTACGTGGTATCTGACGTGCTGAGATGATTTACAGTGTCACATTGCCCATTGTATTTTTACATCCACTCGTATTTTCGCTATAACTATTCACCGGTCCCCCAAGTTCATCGCAGTTACTGCCTCTCGATGTGATTTGTAAAAGAAATATGTATACCCACTCTTTTAATACTGCAGTTTAAGCCTCTTTACATCTACAAAAAAAAAATAGAAAACAACATTTTACTCCCTCACGCCTTCTAAATTCGCACATCCAGGCACGTACACTTCTCTAAAATGTTAACTAAGTAACGCCAACCGTTACACTCTAGGAACGTAACTAAGTGCAATGCTTGTTACAGAGATTAAAATAAAACATGTCACTTCAACTAAAACGTAATGCTTTACTTAGTCGGTTCTATGAATATGCAATGTTTGTTTTCAGCAGTAGCCGCTTCTCATTGTTTTCTTTCGTTAGTAGTTCCTCGATTTTAACGCTTCATGGACGCCTGGAGTACCAGCCTTATACACACTGCTCAAAAAAAGAGACAAAAGATCGTTCCTCGTTCCTTTTGATTTTTGCAACGCGTTCCCGCTACAAGTTCTATCTGTATGCAAAAATGCATTCCCGTTACCACTTAAAAATGGAACGTACCGTTAGTTATAGGTTACCCGTTTATTGTGGTAATTACTATGTTTCGTTAGCTCAAACGAATTTTGTATATATGTCTCCCATAGAAGGACAACATACTAATTTAAATGTCGTGATGGAAGGACACCGGAAGAATACAACCGGAACCCTTGTTTCCTTTGTTGATATATTCACCTTTAAATATTTCAGCGTTTTTCTGTATTCCTGTTTGTGATTGACGATTCATGCGAGCCAAATGTACGGTAAGACGGGAAGAAGGAGCGGGGTTAATTTTGTTATTCTTTATTTAAGGGTTACCCGACATTGCGCAAGCGTTTTACAACAACCTCACACGTTTCGATCAAAGCCCTTTGCTTGAACTTAACAAGAGTTGCTTCTCAATTTTTCTGTCCGAACGACAAGCAATTGGAGGAGAAAGTACGGCGTTTGGAAGGTCACTCTTGAAAACTACCAGTCTTTGATAAAGATGGAATTCGTAGTTCAGTTCAAAGGTGAGGAAGAGAGGAAAAGGGAATAAACGTTAATGTTTATCGATCTTTTAAGTGACCAATGTTTAAGCTACGAGAGTGCGTTCGATCTCCGGTAATCTCCTCTTGTTGTCACTCTAGGTCTCTTTATGAAAGTACAGCGACGCATGTAGTCGGCCTTATATTTCTGGGTGTATGAGGATTCGTGGAAGTAAAGAAAGTAGCTGAGTTTGAGAGGTACCTTTTATCTGTCTTTTCATTCGACTAAAAGTTTTGTCGAAAAGGCAAACAGCGCACAGTAAACGGGGACTAGAGGAAGTGCAAACAGGACAAGCGTTGACTGTCAATTGAACTTTAATTACATAAAAACAAAACAAAGAAAACAGCAACCACGCCCACGTCACATCATACATTCACCCCGTGTCCAACAAAAAACAATCTCTTTACTACTTAAGCCCAGCGGCGTTGAACTTACGCAGTTGGCGCCTGCTTTGATAATTCAATGCGCCTCTAAAAGTTCTCTGTACACTCTGTTCCTTCCATTGCAATGATAGCAGTCTTACTAAAGATAGGTTTGCACCCCGATCTTTGACAATAGATAATGATCTTAAGTTAAATTCGCAAAACACCAAAGCCATTTTATTTAAATTCAACATGCTACAGCTATGCTATTTCCGCAACTGATTTTGAACAATGAAGAAATTGAATCTGTCGAGACTATTAAGACTTTGGGCGTTTGGTTCACAAGTATTATTTATTGGAATAAACATGTTGATTATCTTTCGTCTAAACAGTAAAAAACAGTGGGGTTGCTAGCCAAGTTTAAATCATTGTTACCTCGTTGTGTTAAGCTCTAAATTTACAATGGTTTGGTATATTCCCAACTTAATTATTACCATATAGGCTGGGGAAATACAACAAAAACACATCTAAATAAACTACATATTTTACGAAAGAAAGCTCTGCGTGCTATTGCCAATTTTTCATACTATGATCATACTGAACACTTGTTCTCATAGCTTAATATAAAACCAATTTCAAATATTTACAGGTCCCGACTTCTTGTTGCGTACAAGGAGTCTACGCAGTTTAAAAATAAAGTTTTTGAGGAATTATGTAACCTAGTGCCTTTCACTTCCTCTTATCAGCTCCGCCCTAAAGAAAAATGGTTTGTTTTACCATCACACAC